AAGATTTAGTGCAAATCATAAATACAATAATGAAAGATATAAAGGATAATAAAAAAGAACTATGACTAGTTCTGCAAGATATAAATAGATTTTTGATTCAGTTTCACTAAATCATTAGATTTAACAATAAGAAGACTTAAGATCTCTCAGATCACAACAAGGTTTATTTTAAACCTATTTGAGAATAGACAGTTGCAAATTATTACAAAGCTAGATACAATGCAAAAATAATGATATAGAGCAAGAAATAATAATTTCACTTCTTGTATAAAAAATCTTTTATGATCTATCATTATCAAGAATTAATGATGATCTGAGCTTAGATTATACAATATTTCAGCAGATCTCATTTAACTACAGCTTAAACTAAGCAACAGAAAAAAAATAGAAGCAGGTGGTAGTTGCTTATACTGATGATACAACTTAAATTGCAAAAACAAAGAACAGATGAAAAAAATAATACAGATTGCTGAAGAGTTCTTTAAGTTAAATGACCTTTAAATAAATGAAAAAAGTCTAAACTGATTGTAGTCAATTCAAAAGAGAAGAAAAAAAATAGAAAGATTTACTTTGGTAATAAATAGTTAGTAGAAGAAAAAAAAAATAAAATTACAAGGTTTTTAGAAGTATGGCTTAACAACTATTTGGATGAAACCCTCATTAAGGTAAAAGTAAAAAAAGTTGTGTAATTAACAACTCTGATATTAAATCTAAAAAACTTACAATAGCACAAGCAGTATATATCAATAACATATACATAGTCCTCAAATTGTGCTATATATTACAAGTATTAAGATTTATTAGAAAAATAATACCATAGACTTCTGAAATTAAGCACCCTTTTTTTACATCTAATGCTGGCTAAGATCATCATAATGCAGACCAAAATTGGTTTAGTGCGGGCCAGAGGTGCTTATTTTCAGGGGTGCTTACTTTCGAAATTATACAGTAAATGATAATTAAATACCAATACTAATGCTAATGAAGTAAAAAATTAGCAAAAACCACAAACAATAGTATAATCCTTCATAAAAGTATTAGAAGTTGCAATGCATTATAGAATCAGCTGCTAACTAAGCAAGTCTTCAGCCTACAATTATGACTAAACTCAGCAAGACTTGAAAAAACTCTAATATTACTAAAAATAAGTCAAGAGATATAACTATTGAGAGCAGCTAAAAATACATAGTTTGAAGAACTATCAGATACTTGTATCTGCTTTTGGAAAAACAGCTTAGTCTGTTTAATAATGCTGAAGGCCAAAAAACTAATTATTATATTTAAATTCAAAAATATGGAGCTTATAGAAGAAAGCAAAAAATTCAAAATAGCAAATATTCTTGAAAAGAAGTTCACACCACAAGTAGTAACAACACTTAAAAAGCTTAGCATTATATTTCTCAAACAACTTTTAATATAGTCAGGAGATTGAATAATAACCTAATAGCAACTCAAATTGTTTAGATATCTTTTATATAGAGATAAAAATATAAAATAGTTTCACATAATAGAAAAGACAGTAATTAAAAAGAAAGAAGATACAAGATTATAAAGCCAAAAAACAGAGTAGAAGGCTCCAGTTTTTGGACACTTCAAATTTCTCTAGACCCATTAGAAATAGATGAAAGAAAAAAAGAATAGGTTTTAGTGAAAGCATTAGAAATGGCAAAGAATAAAGCTCTGATAGTTAGAAAGATTATAAATAAATCTAAAAAGAGATTTTTTACAGAATATTAGAAATCAAACATAAACCTAGTTACAAGAAACACAAGAATGAAAAAATGTGAAGGTTGTGAACTCAATCAAGAAAAAGAATTAAACTCTTGCAGAAATCATATAAATAGAAAAAAAATTCAAGGCTCTATAACAAGATTTATCAATAAATAAAAAGAAAAAGTTCTAAAAATTAACCAAGAAATGATACAATCAATGCAGATCTTTCTTAAATTAAACAAAAAAAAGGTGGTATAAGAAATTAGAATCTATAACTTAAATACAAAATCATCAAGAAGCAACAAATCAGTCAAAAAATACAGAACTTTCTAATAGAGAAGAACAGAAAATTACAAGAATGCTCCTTAATACAGTTTAACTTTTATACTAATAGATCTTTAAGAAATAGTAGATAACAAGTATAGTCAGAATCAGACAAAATAGAAGTAAGCTAGGTGTTAGTAGATGAAGAAGAGAGAAAAGTAATTGACAAAGATTACTTTAAAGCAAGAAATTGACTGTCCTTGATGAAAGCAGTATTGTTTAGAATTTAGTATATATTGCTTATTACATATGGCAAAGAAAAGGTTAAGATTTGCACAGATAGTATAGTGACAATATCAAAAATAGAAGAATAGGCTGACAAGACAATAGCTTAAAAAGGAGAATTACAATTTAATAAAATGTATTTTAGATATAGTAGAAATGAAAAAAAATATAGCTAAATTTAGAAAAAATAAAAGGTTATAATAAAAATAGATGGAATGATAAAGCAGACAAATTAGCAAAATTAGGATCTAAAATAGAAGACAGAGATAAAATTATAAAAAAACTTCTCAGAAATCAAATATTACTTTATGCTAGGAAGAGATAGTAGTAGAAGATCCCACAAGAGAGTTTTTGCAAATTATTCTTAACTTTAGAACAAGTATTGAGTAGAAATCCTCTTTGACAATAAGAAAGATAGAACCTGAAGATAATATACAGACCTGATATTAATCTACCTTATAGAAAAAGATCAGAAATTAAAATGGTATATAGTGCACAAGCTTGAAGAAGAACAAACATTTAGGTGTTCTAGTTAAAGTACTTGCATAAAAAACTGTTAGTACTGAAAATATTGGCAGCTAGAAGACCAGAATTGTATAACAATCCAATATATGTGATATGCAAAAAAGGGTGAAGAAGAAGACCAAGAACACCTAACTATATGTGAGAAGTATGAAGTAAAATAGAAAGAAGCAGAACAGCTAACCTTAAACTTGGCCTAAACAGCTTTGTCAGAAGAAACACATAATCACCTTGACAAAATACAACTTAAGAAGACCTTGTAGGGCTCATCAGAAAAAAAAAATGAAATAAAAGTTGGTGTACTCAAAGGATTGATCAAAGAAAAGGTTGCAAAAAGAATTCTCGAAATAGTAAGAAGTTTGAAAGAACTAAGAAACTACTTAAACATAGCGATAAACTCAACCTGAAACTACTTCTATAAAAACATTTGAAAACCAAGATGCATGTATATATAAATAATTGAAAAAAGAAGAAAGAAATAAGTCCAAAAGAAAAGAAAAGAAAAAGCCATGATACAGAAAAATCAAATCTCAGCAGTAAAGAGAAAGAAATGATTTTAGTAGGAGGAAGTAATCAAGATTAAACCAAGGGTAAAGTTAAAAAAAAGAAAGCAAAGATAAAGAGAAGGAAGATACAAAAAAAGAAAATACTTGGTTTGAGGCTATCAAAAACTTTACTAAAAATAAAATGAAGCCATTTTGATATAGCTTTACTAGCTAGCTTGGTGCAGCCCTCTGGTGCAGGCAATTTTTTAATCGGTAAGGCAGACCATCCCTAGGCATCTAATAGGATAGCTAAGGAATGTCAGATCTATAGTTTATATAGTATATACTTTGATCTAATAAAGATACCAATGAGGCTGCCAATAATTAAAAAAAAAAATATATATATATATATATTTAGTTATTAAAATATACATCTATTATATATAGAGCTTCGTATTCACATTTGTTATTTGAATAATATTTGTATTTGATGAAAATTTGAATAAATATTTGGATAATTTTATTATTTATCATGTGAAACTTTAGTTATTGACTGTTTTACATATACAGGACACTTAATCAGCCATAAAGTAGAACAAGAAGAGAAAAAGGTCAAATATTAGTTTATTGATATTGTTTTTTTAAGTAGAAAATGAAAAGAAAAAACATTTGATTTGGTTAAAAAAAGATTTTTTATAAACTAAGTAAATTTTTTGTTTTACTAAAAAACTGCTAAGAAAACTAATTCAGGCAAATTTGGAAAAAGGGTCTCAATTTTCAAATAAGCTGTAGGCGAATTGTGAACAGAATGAGCCAGAAAGGCGACAAAGAAGTGGAGAAACTGAGAGGAGTGAAGGATCTGGAGAAAAATTAAAAGAAAAACACAACTAGTAGGTAAAGCAAACCAGAAAACAAATACCAAACAGAATAAAACTTCTATTATGTTAGGAATTTAATAAATTACCTAAGAGGTCAATAAAAAAAGTAAAATAAATAATTTAGTAAGCACGAAAAAAGTAGTAAATGCTTTCTTAGAAACTATTCAGCAGAAGTTAGTCCAAGGTGAAATTATTAATTTTAAAGGTTATTTTTCGCTTAAAAGAAGCATTCCTAAACCAAAGGTAGTAAGCATTGTATTAAGCATGAAAAATCTATTAGCGATTATAAGCAAGCCAATAAAGGAAAAAGCCTGGCGGACTATACCAAATCAACTAAATTTAAAGAAATTGTTAATGAAACTAAAAAATGCTGAGACTGTCAAAGCAAAAAAGAACAATTATTTAAAAATACCAAATCTACTAATCAGATATTTATTTAAACTAAGTAAAGACTTTTGAATCCTAAGCAAGAAGAAAAAATAACCTGAAACAATTATTCTATTAGCCAAAAGCAAGCAAAATTATAAGATTATTTAATGCTGCTGCAATCCTCTTTTCATTAATATTTATCTCAATTGCGATAGCAAGCATAGTTAATAGATGCTTATTTCAATAAAAACTCTCATATAAAAACAACTAAACTAAAAAGATTAAGCGATAAAGAAATGTATGAACTATTAAAAAAAATTAAAGCCAAAGCCCTGAAGAAAAAGGCAGTTTCAGCATTGAGGTAATTTGTAATGCTAAAGACATCAACTCTTGCCAGAAGCCTAGCAAATAGATATGGAAACCTACTTTGAACATCTAATCAATGTTGTTTACCAGGCTTACCAAGACATTTTAATTAAGAAACATGGTGAAATTTATCTCTTACACCCTGCAGTTATTAAATTTAATGGGAAACTTAACTATTTATATCAAAGAAATCTATTTAAATATCCTGTTTGTTTACTATTTAGCAGAATTAAAAAACGATATTCCTAACTTTGCCAAAGCATTTGGACTTGAGAAATTAATTAACATTCTCGTCCATGAGTTAGCGCATTATTTACTGGCTAATTATAAATTAAACTTTGATCAAAAATATAAGTCCGAGCATAAAGAACTAGCCCAAGATAGTGTAATATTAACAAACTTTTATTAATATTTTCTTATACTTTTTCTTAAATTTTATTATAATTTCTATATAATTATTATATATTTTATCATTTTATTAGCTTATTTACATAGTTTATAGTATATTTTATCTATTTTAGATGTTTATACAATAGTTTTTTATATATTTTATTAGTACACTTTTTACAGAATTCCATTTAAAGCAATATTTGCTTTAATATTTAATTATTAGTTTG